TTTTTTTAAAAAAACTCAGTGTGTGTCGTAACATTTTTAGAGCAGCGGACACTCCCGCAAACGGGTGGATGATCTCAGACGTGTCGGGTCCGGGCAGCGATAGGGGCAGATGTTTGTGGGTGACCTGCTGCTCCCTCTGCAGATCGGAACATCTGCTTCAGCCCTGTCTCTGCTTCACCGGCCGGAGTGGTGACCGGCAGCCCGACCCCTGGGCTGTCGGGTGACAGCAGAGTTCACCTGCTTTCAGTGCGGAGCTGAGAGGCGAGGCTGGGGCGGAGGGAGCCTGGAAGGATTCCTAGGTGAGGACTTCAGCACCTGTCAGCAATCGGCCGCGTTCCTGAGGGCTTTAAGGAGCTCAGCTTTGTGCTTGCTACTGGGAGAGAGGGTCGGGGTTCCTTAGCCGAGGGTGGGAATGTCCATGAAGGTGTGCACTGTTCCTGGGGTCTGGGGGCGTCAGCACGGAGCCTGGGTGTAGCAGAGGCCCAGGGGGTGGTCTGGGGAAGGGGCAGGAGGGGGGTGGCCAGCCGGAGGTTCCCACACCCACGGAAGGGAGCCCCTGACGGTGGCGGGGAAGCGGTCAGAGGTGAGGGAGTGGCCACGCGCAGGCTCTGGGGGCCCGGAAGGCACAGCTGGTCCACCCGTGCCCCACAGCGCCTCTGAGTGTCCACCCCACGCGCAGCACCCCTCCGCGCGGGGGCAGAGGGGTCCCTGGGGGTCCTTCAGGCAGCGCTGGGAGCGGAGCACTGGGCGTGGCTGTCTCAGCTGGTGCTGAACATCAGCCAGCACAGAAAGGCACATGCCACTCCATCCCCTGGGCGTCCAGTTTTAAAAAGTGAAAAGTCCTGCCCTGGCCGGTGTGGCCCAGTGGCTAGAGCATCGACCCGCAGACTGAAGGGTCCCGGGTTCGATTCTGGTCAAGGGCACGGACCTTAGTTGCGGGCTCCCGGCCCTGGCTGGGGGCAGGCGGCAGGCAGCCAGTTGATGTGTCTCTCACATCGGTGCTTCTCTCTGCCTCTTCCTCTCCCTTCCCCTCTCTCTAAAAATCAATGGGGGGAATCCTCGCGTGAGGATTAAAAAATAAATAAATAAAGCAAATGCTGACTAACATTTTTTAAAAAAACGAAAAGTCCTGCTTTTAGCTCTGGCTGGTTTGGCTCAGCAGATGGAGTGTCGGCCCTCGGACTGAAGGGCCCCGGGTTCGATTCCGGTTGGGGGCACGGGCTGGTCCGGCTGTTTCGCTGGGTCTCTCCCAGCCCCTCCCACTCTTCCTAACATGAATGGAAGCCTATCCTCGGGTGAGGATTAACAACAACAAATAAATAATAAGAGATTTCTTAAAAAAAATAAAATTTAAATTCTCAAAAAGGAAAAGGCCTGCTTTTAAATTGCTGGTGATGGAGCCGGTGCTGTTGCCTTGTGGGGGTGGCTGGGAAGGGCCCGGGGAGGCTGGGGGAGCCGGTCGTGCTGTTTTATGATCCGGGCGCTGGTTTCATGACGGGTCTCCTGGTGGAAACCCACTGCGCTCTGCGCTCATGGTGTTCGCTCTTCTGTCTGAATGGACATTTCAATGAAATGTGTTTTTATTTTAATTTCTTATTTTAGATATATTTTTATTGATTGCAGAGAGGAAGGGAGAGGGAAAGAGAGAGAGAAACATCAATGATGAGAGAGAATCATGGATCGGCTGCCTCCTGCACGCCCCCCACTGGGGATCAGGCCTGTGCCCTGACCGGGAATCGATGGAACTGTGACCTCCTGGTTCATAGGTCGACGCTCAACCCCTGAGCCGTGCCAGCTGGGCTCAACGAAACGTTTATTACTGATAATGAAACACCCTTCCCTGACCCACTTTATCCTCCGGCGATATTCCTTCGCTTCCCAGTAAAACTCTAAAGAAGTCGACTCTAATCTCTCTCCTTCCATTTTTCTC